TATTACAATAATTTCTCGACCATAACTCCGCATGAGGTAATATATTGAATACCAGTCTCAGGGTGAGAAGCCCATAAATATCGCGCTCTGAAAGACCATATTGATTAGGAACATTATACTTGATGTGCCCATATATAATGTAGCATTTACGAATCTAACACGTGATGAAGCGAGAGTGCCGCCTATGCAATTTACTTATATTTCGATGATTTATTTTTTCTCTTATTATAATTTAAGAACTTGTTTTCTTATAAAAAAACACATCTTCCAGAATAGTCTATTAAATATGTCTAATATTAAACTTTCTAGAACGGTAATATGTTTTCAATACAAGTATAAACACGCCATTTGCCGCGAGGGTGATTTCGGGTAAGCTTTGAAATACGTGTACAATAATTTATTTTATTTGTTTTATTTACCTGTGTTTATAAACTTTTATATTATTATTTAATAGAGAAGTTCTATCTTTTTTTGCTACTAACTTTCTATTAGTTTGTCGGTTAAAGCAGTCAAGAGAGCATCGTGTCGGATAACTGCTTCAACTTATATAACCTCAAAGGTCGGCAGTTCGATCAACATGAACTAAGCATTGCTATGTTACATGCGAATTTATTGGGACTTATATTACTTTTATTGTAATTTCACTATACGGTTTCAAGGAGATCCATTAATGTGCCAAAGCACCAGTAAAATGAATACGTTTGATCAATTTGAGGAAATCCTTCGTGGTGGATATGTACTGGTCAAAAATCACCACGGTATTTCTATTCTCGCCATGGGATCGCAAGTGCATTACACAACAATCCCAGCGCAAGCTTTGAGATATCTACAAATGCACATTCAATATTATACAATGGAATGTACAATAATAATTTATAAAGTATTTTCAATACCGGAATCTTAAAAAGAGGTTGTGTGAATCTTATAACATAGATATAGTAGATGTAGCATTATAGTGATTATTTACTTAATGGTAAATCATTTGTATTAAATTTTGTTATTGCATCAAGTAACTTTTTATTTAAATATTTTCAGTCAGGTTTTGACGGCTTCAATTTTAATTTCTAGTGACGTATAGGTACGACATAGTAAGTAAGTATATTTACATTTACACAATGTTTTGCCGCGAGATATCGATGAAATATCAAATTTTACTGTTCAAATATTAAGACGGGAATTAATCTGTTCATTTTGGCAATCGTGATGTTATGAAGTATTATTCGTATGTTCCCATATACATATATTTTCGGTTATATTCTTGTTATTTTACACACCGATTCTTTTCATTTTATGTACTCAGGGAAGAATGGTAGGTAGGTATGTATGTACTAGAACTACTATGGATATACTAACTGTATATCCACAGTAGTTCTAGTACATAGGTATATCTTAGAATTCGACAGCTAATTAAAAATTCAGAAAAGAATTTACTCAATTCAATCTTTACACTTTACAAACTATAATAAAATTGTTCCGTTTTAAGGTTTGTTAATACAAAATTTAGTTCTATGCCAATACAGAATTATTTTTATTTAAGCTTTATTGAAAGTTCTAATAGTAGAATCTAATAGTAGATAATGTTATTATTAACCTCTATGGGTTAATAATACAACCCAACCTTTAGGAGTGCAGAGATACTCGAAGCTCTTTTAGTTAAGCAAATAAAATTATATATTAAATATCTATAAGTATAAGAGTATATATATATATTATACGTAATAAAATACTATTTACATACAAACATATACGCACTGTTGTTCTTAAATGTATTTTTGTACAATGGCAGTATTCTCAATATTGTATTGTAAACATCCCATCCTGATTATATATTAAGTTAAATGAGTTCCTCTCAGAACAACGGGAGCGTTATATTTGAATTTCTTTGAACTTTCATTTACAATCTCAACGACAAATTGTAAAGATAAACCAACTTCAATTTCTCTCAAAAGTTATACAGAGCTTATGTAAGCTGGAGTTTGTGGTGTGAAGCGTATTTGTACAATTGTGCGTATGAAGCAGCAAAATGATAATATTATTTATATAATCATTCTTGTTATCGTAGATGATATCGATGGTTTAGTGGTCTGGCACACCGCCTTACTCTCGATAGTTGCGGGTTTGATTCCTCATATGATGCAAACATTATTTATGAGTATGAGTATTTATATTGGTGTGGATGCTTCTTATGTATGTGTTTACAAAAAAATGTGATTAATTACGGAATTATGTAGCTTTCTTTTGTTTTCGTTTAGTGGTCTAGTACCCATAACACACTTTGTTTAGCTTGGGACGAGATGGCGCTATGTATATTGTACAGTGTTACTGTTATTAATATTTTTAAAAGTTTTCATTTAATTTCTTTCCTATCATTTTGTTTAGTGGACAATGTAACGAATCATTCGTTTATAGCTACCGGCAAAATTTATATATATCTATGGATTTTAATTTCTTTATAATAAAAAAACAGTAAAAATAGTTAAATGCATGCCGCATTTAACACAAATATAATTTAACCACAATTGTAAGCATAAATATTATCAGTTATACCTATAGGTTTTGGGAGGTTTATTATATATCTGCAAAAAATCTGTATTCACGTATTTGTATTTTTTTGTACAATACATATTATTACATATAACTATACGATAGTTATATGTATATGCGTTATATATGCGTCCTTATTTTTTTTAACAAATAAATGAAGTAAAAGCATTTGTATAAGTGTTTATGAAAAGAAATATGATAATGAAGAATGTGAAGAAACAAAAGAGACATCATCAGGCATGTTCCTGTCAACGCCATCCACATCACCTCATCATCATCATCAATCTGAACATTAAATAAACTATTTTCATGTTTATTGTGAATCAAATTATTTAAATTATTAAATTATTTTGTAATAAAATATTTTAAAAATATGACAATCATAAAATACAAATAAAATACGAAACATTTTTGAAACAATACATTTAATATTGTATTAAAATCAGTTGTGAGCGAAGTTTCTATATTGCGAACTAAATTAACAATATATGTGGTATTGTCGAATTGCTTTTTAAAACATTTTCATGGAGCAGTTCCGCATTTTTGTTGCGGACATAATAGCATAAAATTGTTGAGATGGTGTAGTTTAACGCCATAAAGTACAATAGCGGACGATATACGGCGTCATTGAAATAATCATAAAGATAAAACTAGCAAGTGCAATGCTGAGAGTTTTATTGAGGTGTAAATAAACGACGATGGACTTCTGTGAATTGACTTCATGCTTTTTGTCGCTGTTATAGTTTTCACACAATTGATATTGTAGCCCTTTGCAATCATATGAATTTGTTATTTACTTCACTCGAATGGTAAACGCCCGTCTAATGAATAACGAATAATAATAATATTTATTTCCACAAAAAAACATTGTATAAACTATATGTGGTGAATGGCAATTATAGTATTTAATTATGTGACGGTGGTATATATACCTAATGCGTTACCATTCCGAAAGACTAAGGTATTATGCCTCAATATCATTGCCATAACTCATACTTCAATTGAGAGCCAACTAACAGAGCAATCTGATAAGCTGTTAAAGTAACTGAGGCGGAGGATGCTGACAACTTGACGAAATTAGATAGGTATGTATTTAGAAAGAAGTGTATTAGAAAATTAATAAATATTGCGTATATAGTCTCGACTAAAAAGTTTATTTTAAACATACGTATAGTGAAATATTAAATTAGTGTATATTTTCCTCAATTTTACGTGGATGTTAATATTGATTTATTATTAGCATATAAAACCATCTTGATGTTACACTATTTTTTTAATATTGCAGACTTCTTGTGGAACTATCTTAATTTGCAAGAAGAAACCTATCCAAAACTTTTTTAGAGTGTTGATGTCAGAGTTTACATTTAAAAGGAAGTGATTAATGACTATGGTATCTAAAATCCATTATCAGATTAATGTATTCATGAAAGCGAATAGATAAAAATCGATTGACAGTATTTTAAGTGAACTGAACATCGGGAAAGGCTTAATCGCATGATCTTCGAAAGCGGAGGAGTAAAAATGTATATATACAATATATGCATGTATTTACTTGTAGGTGTATGGAATAGTAAAGTAGTAAATATGATGCTATATCGGCCGGAGATGATAATTTTAAAATACAATATAACTTTTAATGAAAGTAATAAACATTTCAGCATCAGTGTAAACACACTCGTTATGGCTGATTGAAAATTTTATGTTATATCCCCACACTTTAGACTATTGCATAAATGCCTGCCACTACAAACTAATATCGATATATATACATATATATGTGATTAAAGCTTCTATTGCATGCATCAACTACCATAATATTGTAAAGTAACTTCCGGCTTGTGACGTGACACTGCAGCAGGAGTCACTTTGATTGTTTAAGTTGCTGTCCGTCTACTTTGTACTTGTCAAACGATACATCCTTAATCATAAAGCTATTAGTGAAACTGTCATAATTAAATTGTTACCAACTAAGTGATCTTAGTAACTAATACTTTGATCTGAAAGAATCCAATCCCTGTATGAAACAAATTGGACCATCTGCTTGAACTCATTCAAGATTGCAATACAATTCCATCAGCTATTATTCTTTTATTACTATACATAAAGCATTACTCGATTAGTTTATCGGATTTCACCTTATTCAGTTCAGAACGACCGTTCCCGATCTGTACGGGTGTCCTTCGAAAAATCTATGGAAATCTTGCAAGTGACAGTCCATGACAGCACTAAAAAAGGACTATAATTTTCGCTTCAAGTGTCGGTGCGTCGAGTCGCGAATGCGGAAAGTGGCGGAAATCTTGCGTTAGGGGTAGTGTGGAGGGGTGGAGGGAAATTTCGCCCGTCATAGCTTGCTCTCATAGCGTTCAGCGTATCGCTGAAACTCGACTTCAGTACCCCGGCATTAGCCGTCGTTATTGGACGTGTGTTTTGTTGCAGGCTGTCCTAGAACGCGAGTGATGATTTTTACGATGTTGTGTGAAGAATATAATTTGAAGTGTGTTCAGTGAGTGGTTCAAAAAAGTGTTTCAGTTTGGCCGGCTCCTCATCATCACTGCACTAAAATGTAAGTTGTTTTTATTAAAAAAAGTTTATGTTTGTCCTCAAAGTATGGTTCATTTTAATTAGATTGTACTCGCCGGAAATTATCATACTTTGCGGTTTAGATAAGAAGAGAATTTAATTTAAAAGTTCTGAATTGTGTTAATAACTTGTTATTTTTACGACGCCGGTTATACTTTTTGAATTTGTAATTTTGCGATGTTCCGCGCAAATTGTGGAAAATAGGTTTCCTCTTTATCTTAATTACAGAACAATCAGTATTAGGCCCTATTATAAATGAAGTTTATACTTTTTTAAAGAACCTAAACTATTTCAAAAACTCATAAAAGTATACAAAATATCTCAATATTTGACTTTCAAAATATTATCATGAAGACTTGTTTTTGTAGTTACGTATGTACAAATTTATTTATATCGACAATGTGAAAACAAATGTTACCACAAAAGTTATATTGCAGTTTTGTCTTCTTACTCTTAATATGCTTCTTCTCTGCTCATAGAGATAGATATCCACTATTCATGAACTAACGATAAATTATTATTTATTTATGAACTATATTAATTTATATTTAAAAATACCAAGGAATATTATCATAGTACCTACGATATTTATATTTATGGGTTAGAATTTTTATAGTATATAAAGTTTTTACGTTCTATAAAGTTTATAAAGTTCTGATACCCTTTATGTGATAATATTTTTTTTATTAAGTTCTATTACTACCTAAGTTTGAATTGATGCAGCTGTATTATTTTGCAGTTGTGATTTATTCCCCAAATTTTACAGACAAATTTTTCAAAAAAGTTTAATAAACCGAAACAATGGTATCCTATGCAGATATATATAATATATAGATCAATCTATATAATATGCAGATCCTAATTATTTCTTTTCTAAGATATTGTTATATAAAAATGTTTCTACGTATTTTTAATACGTATATGTAATATAAATAAAATTGGAATGTCTGTTTGTAATATTCAAAATAACCGTTTTTTACTACATGCATATATGAATATAAATGCGGTATATACACCAAAATATTTTTTTACAATTTATGTCTGTCTGTTTGTTTCGACTAATTTCTGAAATGGATCGATTTTGATAGGACTTTTATTGGCAGGTAGCTGATGTAATACCTAAGTAGTACCTTAGACTACTTTTATTTTATAAGAATAAAGTTAAATTCCACGCGGACGAAGTCGCGGGTACAGCTAGTATAATATAATAATACCCTTCTATTTGAAGAGAGAAGAGGTTTTGGCGTGAGAATATAATCAGATAATACAAGTATTTTTTTAATATAATTGATATGCCAAATAGCTGATGGCCCACCAGACCTTTGGTGGAGGTAACCGTAGCCTATATATATGAACAGCAGTTCGCACATCACATTATCATGAAGGTACACGAACCAATCATGCGTTGCCTTGCTTTCCTGAGGACTAAGATGTCATGCCTCTTATCGTGTGAGGTAAAATAAGGCACTGTAGCCTTATTTTACCTTTACCTTCAACCAAAACTTGCTTGGTGACTGAGACTGAAATACTCACGCAGACGATTTTTTACATAGTTGACCGTGGTAAAATTAATAAATCAATATTTTCGATTAATTTGTAAAAACATGTAGATATCTGGCATTTATTCAAATGGATATAGACAAAGTAATAAATAAATTTAATGAAAGCGTTGTAATAAGACAGCATGATTTCTGCAAGCGAACTTGGATCGGTTGTATAGTATTTATAGCAAAATATGTGTCCTATTTAGCCGACGCATATCATAGATGATCAGATGGAACTTGGCACAAGGCGAGACTTTAGGCATACAATAACAAGTAACTAATAGCACATACATACAATGCGGATGTGGAATTATGCATTACAGATCATGAACGAACAGAACAAATGAATAAATACCAAGAATCTTGTGTGGGTATTGGTGAAACATGTTGAAAATGGAAGAAACTGGAGTTGCGTGTAATGTCATAATATCGCTGTCTATCCTATTTTACTTAGCGTTAAACTTATTCTAGAGGTTACTAAATAATTAATGTGTAAAGAGATACATACTAGGAAAAAAATAAAGTAAAACAATCGCTAATTCTCTGTACGTGAATAATTAGCTTTTGTCCGCGGCTTTGCTCGCGTTAATTTATCCCTTTAGGGGTGGAATTTATCAAAATCCTTTCTTAGGGGATGCCTACGTCATAGTAGCTTTATGCTTGCAAAGTCTCAGCCCGATCGGTTTAAAATTGACAAAGTTTCATACAAACTTTCAACCTCTATTTTATCCCTTTGGGGATAGAATTAATTAATATCCTTTCTTAGAGGATGCCTACGTCATAACATCTACCTGCACGCCAAATTTCAGCCCGATCCGTCCAGTGGTTTGGGCTGTGCGTTGATAGATCACTATGTCAGTCAGTCCACCTTTGAGTTATATATATTTAGATAGTCAAAAAAGAATTAAACCCGTAATGTGTAAAACTATGGGATAATAAAAAAATCATTTTCGATATAAAAAATAATATAATATTTATTTTTCCCACGATGTTTCTCCTACAAGTATTCTATTGTTATTGCCATTTTTTATGTAATATTTCATGGTTGAGGTAATAATTAAAAAAAATTGGCAAGTACCCCTTTTTTATATAATATACCTTTGAATACAAAGGCATAGCTTACTTAAATCATTATGGTATTAATGGTATTAGGCAAAATGCCTTCCGCCGCGAGTTTGCAATTTCTATAGATATAATGTCACCGTTTATGCAAATTTTTTTTAAGTTTTATCAGCCATGACAACTACAATCCAATGCTACTTCAAAGCAGTTTTAATGATGTGATGAAATAAGAAATCTTTACCCGCACTTATATTTGTGTATTATAAACCCTGAAAATATTACACTATATTTTTAGGCAGCCTTTTAGAAACTAGGCTAGGAGGGTTTCCATCTACTCATATTCCTGCTGAGATTAGGCTTTGTCCGTTGTACCTTATTTTCACTACCGTATATTACATACAGCGAGGTATTTCTGTTAGGTGAGGGTTAAAAGGTTTTATGTTGGGGCCTTCAAGGCCTGTTGGACCGTCAGCTTATTTTTATACACATCTATCTATATTCACGACAGGTACCTTATGGAGTGCGCTAAGATTGTAAAGATTTATAGTTACTAGCTATGTCCGGGGTTGATCCGCGTGAAATTTATAGCCTACGTACTGTAAAGTTTCATCAAAATGTGTTCAGTAGTTTTTCCGTGAAAGAGTTATCCTCGCAATTTAATCGTGTATGCTTCGGACTGAAGGTAATTTCTCGCGCTCCGCGTTGTTACTACCACTGAAGGGGATAAATTCCCTGCTGCTGCCGCTGTTGCGTGCACTATATATATATCGTATCTTCTTTACATACATCTATCTATACTTATAAACAGTCGCTTTTATAACTAGTCTCGTGTAATCACGTGAGTTCCAGTATTCTTGACTCATCACTGAGGTAGTATTTATAGGTACATTATAATATTTACGATAATAAGATAGTTATGGATAGAATATACTGTGGCTGTGACCCTTCTTAGAACTGAGATGTTACATTTCTTTAATAATTTTCGCATTTCTTAAACAGGTTTTTAAATATATACCTATATTATGATTCAGTAGGTCCGAAAATTCTAATGCATTTTTGGCTTTGTTAAAAATATTTTAATTAGAATAAAAAATAGTAAGAACTACTTTATTATTATTTTATTAACACATGTAAAAAGTTCACCAATTAGAAAGTTTTCCAATTTATTATATGAATTGCTATCAATATACATTTAACTTTTTTATTTATTTTCCACAACAACCTTGGCACGTTGTTACTGATGACAGAATATAACAAAGCTTGTTTGTTAACGAGCTTTTTGTTTTCAATAATTTTTTAAAATTTTATACCGGTGCTGTTTTTCAGTGAGCTTGTAACGAAATTAAAAAAGATATACAACGCACAAAACGCGTATTGTGTTCAATACCAAACAATGACTTTATATGCCCATATAAAGACTTTATAACACTGTGTATATTATATATTTTTAGTTGTCTATGCCAATTTTCTGCATACGAGTATAATATATTGTTTATTCTGTTGCTCTTCCTTTCATTCTCTTTGTAAGTTTATTATAATAAATCATCATCATCCTAATTCTTATACGATATTTTTTAGGTCTTTTATATACTTCTATATTCGTCTGTCTTCTATATACTTCTTGAAATTTTATTCTGCTTTGGGGAATAAAGTGCAGTTATATCTGGCCACTTTAACTATATCCGTATTTTACACTTCATGTGTGTCATTATAATAAATATGACAAATATATATGATACATTCCCATCCCTTTTGTTTATTTCCCCAGATGTCCAAAACTAGTGAAAGGCTGGTTAGTAAAAATTTTATATAACACACGCGTAAAAAGAATGTTAGGATATTTTTCATTTTACGTAATACTTCAACCAGCTGTTTCCGTTCGTATATGTATGAAAAAATAAATTACAAGTTTTACAAAATAACCGCTTTTAAATTTTATAATTCTGTATAAACTGGTTTATGTTTACTTTCGTTTTATTTTTTTATTATGGACAAGTTGAGCCACTTACGTTCATTCGTATGTCTTTGGGTTAATGGATTGAAAAGGCTTCTATATTGTTTATGGAAATTAAAAAAAGACGAAAATGCTAAAATACTCTATCTTTGTCTTCTCTATCTACAAAGATGCAATCACTTATTTGTATTCACCATTATAAATATTACATATATATAATTAAGACTATGCGACTACACACCTATAGCAGGTAATGCAGAAATATCGTAGCATCGTATATTTGAATAAACCATAACACATGCATGTTTCATTTCATTGATTATTAATGCAATAATCTAATTTTGCTGTGGTTATGTAACAACCTGAACTATTTAATTTAATTATTCTACGTCCCCTGCTAGCGGTCTGGAAAGATATCCTTGA